TCCAGACCGGCTAGATCAGCTATGATCTCAGGCGATCTCAAGTACAAGTTCATGGGAGAAGTTGCAGATACATTAGTTACCGATAACCGAAAACAATTATTTATGCCTGCCTTCGTTACATCAAATGACGTGTCCGTACGTGAGAAGTAAAAAGCTGTCAATTTGTGAGTGAATAGCTTTTATTGCTATCGTCAAGACCTCCATACTCAGTCAGAAGATGCAAAAAATGGCATGAGAGTTCTATTGGGACCCCTTTGTTCAGATATGAAAGCAGAGTAGGAATGAGTGCAGTTGAAAATTGTTTTATTGATCGTATGTACTGGATACTCTCCGGTCTCTTTCTGGTAATCAGTAAAGAGCGCAATGAGTCCGTTATGCCCTTTCTGCTAACCAACTCAAGGGAAGTTGCTTGAAACGTCAACATTTCCGAGGTGGTAAATCAAAGAAGTGTTGAAAGCACCCACAGGATATATCTTGTCCAAGGGTCTACTAGGTATGTGGTTAGGATTCTTGTTGATTAAACTACTCAGATAAGCCTTCTAACCGGAATACGTCTAAGATACAGTAAGCTGAACCAGTCAGAAGGGCAATGCCAAAATTATATGAAAGCAAGGAAGAAACAGGATGAAGCTTACTGATTTTAGATAAGCCGTTGCTCTCACGAATCGCGCCAACTCGGCATCACGTCCCTTTAGGAGCTCAAAGTTGTACAGGAATGACTGTTTGATTTCATCTAGCTGAGCACTCTGCGTTGATATTTTCTGCTCTTTCTCCGACAGCCGTCTCTGCAGTCCTTCAATTTCCTTTGCGAGAAGTTCCTTCCATTCTACCTCCTTCTTCCAGACTAGAGGATTGAGTTTTAAAATATTTGGATGAGACAGAGTCCGTAAAGGTCTTATATTTCGTCTAAGTTTACTTTTATAAACCCGCGTATAAGCAACTTTTTATTAAAGCTATGTGAACCTAAGGACTGAGCATGAGACGTCTGAAGAAGCTGTGGTCGGTCGGGAAGGAAAATCAGCACAAGTAAAAAACTTAAGTAAAATGTGCTGTTCCACAACAGGCTGAAGGGTTAAAAATATTGACATGGATAACATTATCCATTATCAGGGAAAATTCATTATCCTCGATTTAAGTCGTAAATACATCAAAGTATGCTATAAATATCATTTAATCTGGACAAATTCAGTGCAAGTTAACATATATTTTACTTTTGACTTCCTTTCGAGGAAACTCAGAAGCAGGATATCTATCTCCTGGATAGGGACTCTGTTGAGGAATAATTTTAGAAAATATTGAAGGCAGAAGAGTTATCGATAATTGTGCCAGCCAGTAGCGAAGTACTTTTAGAATGGACAGTTCAAGAAGCACAGACGTCGTCCGCAGTTAGTACTGTATCGTGTTATCTTTTTGAAGACACAGACGAACCGGAGGACGCTGAAATCGACATTCCAGTGGCCATTGAACCCGCGGGAAACGGATATGCGACGCAATTTAGCGCACGTTCACCTGCGGCACATTGTGGATATATTAAGGCGGGATCAAAATTATATGAAGTGACCATAGATTTGCGTATGCACAAATAATACATAGCAACACAAACAACAGGTGAAGGTACGTAACGTAGTAATTGATAATTACTTTTTGTCTATAAACATAGACCCCACATCGTCGACCACGGACTAGGGTTACGCAGCGCTGCCTTCGGTGACGGATGAGCACCGACGTACTGCTACGTGCACATATGCATATCTTTTCTTTTACTTTTTAACTGCATTTGTTCAATTCAAAGTTTTCGCATTATATGTTTTTTGCATAAACTGCTCTTGATGGGTACTCTTACATTTGTTACACGATCACGGCCTGTTTGTCGTCCGCGCACTGCGTCAGCGCATTGTAGGACATCCTACAAGCACATGTGCGTTAGTAGTTGGTCTTTCGGTGGGAAGGAGGGCGGTGGCTCTTGAGCCTCTACAGCTTTGTTGGATTTGACACTTAATTAGGTTGTTCACACAGAGCTATTTGGGGTGGGTTAAAACGCCGTACAGGGGGCAAATAAGGCAACAAGGATTAAATTCAAATTCAGCGAGGATATTCGATTAATTAAAGGGATCATGAGTACTGCTGAACGTTTCCCTGTCACCGTTTTCCGCGAATCTTGAAAATTCGATAAAGACTCGATGAAAATTCGCCGGATAGAAACGCCATAAACTCGTTAGGTGAATGTGGAAAATACGCTATTAGCCCGCCATCGAGGCACCATACTCCCGCTACTAGAGTACGCGGAAAATAATTCCTTTCAAATCCAAATGCAAATGATGAGTTTAATCCTTCTATAAGAAAACGAAGCTTGAGGAAATTGAGCAAAGTTGCTCTTTCTTTCTAATTGAAGATTAAAATTACTTTGTTCTACTCCGTGAACG